TCTGACTCTTGTTCTGCCGCCACCATCTGGTCTGCAGCCCTGGCCTTTGCCACATTCATCAGAAATGCTTTGTATTTCAATTTCGAATTGGGGTTTAGATTTTTGTAAATCAAAAATGAATTGAAAATGGCACAATTTATAAGTCACAAGGCAACTTTCTTTTATCCACTTTATTGTTTATCTAGGAAGAGAATAATAGGCCAAGTATTGATCGACTCTATCAACTCCCTTCATGAACATTTTATACTCGGAAATACAAACAGGCTTCTTTACTTCTCCATGTCTCCTTTGAACATGAACCATGCTCGAATTGTGAATTGTGGAAATCATATTCACAACAAGAGTATCTCTATCTCCAAAAAACAGTTCTGCTACTTCAGACACTTGCGTTGTGTCCGATGGAATTTGTTTCACCCCTGGATTTCCAGTAAACTGTCCCAAAGTAGGCGTTTTGTCTACTTTTCCCCATGTGGCTGTACCCTCAATTTTACTACCTGCACTTCTACCGCACTTTCATCAGAGCTACTTTCACTTTTAATGTCTGTGGCTACACTTGTTTGTTGACCCCTGTCACTGCCACTGTCTCAGTTTCACTACTCCTCTCACAAGGCACGTCAAATAGCTCATCGGAGAAGGAGCAAGATATTTATTTCTCTACGAGATATCGCTTCGTCTTCAACAGCTTCTGTCCTTGATTCATATTGCATTAACATCCTGCCTGGTACATAACAGCTTGAAGGGTCAAAGATTATTTTCCTTTGGAGGGGGAACCAAAACAGTGAGGTCAAGTTACTACCTACTAGGCAAACATTCCAGAGTAATATTATGCAGTAGTCATTCATTTTGGTGGCGCCAGAGAGATGTATAGTGTGTTCCAACTTATCGCATTCTAAAAACCAGTTAACAGGCGAACGGTCCGCCATGTTTAAAAGCGAAAAACCTTTTAAAGGGTGCGCGGTCCGCAAAGTGTTAGGTAACAAGTATTGATATTTGAGAAGTAGGCCAGTAGGCAATGATCAGTTACACATCCACTTACCACATGGATGGCAAGACACTCCCTCTTAGAAAATTCTCGGGAGGGATTCAAGCACACTGCGTTTGCAAAAGTCAAAACAGCCAAAAAAATGGGGCAATACAAAACCCCAGGAAAGTAAACACTCCAAGAAACCACCAAATAGCGATGCTCTATATAGCCGTCTCAAAACGAAGGGGGGCACTAGCCCTCCACAGCCAGTAGGAGAAACCAAACAGAATTTGGACCAACCAAAACTAAACAGAATTTCACTACCACCTTCACAGACTGCTTGTAACCAAGTAGGCTCCGTCCTCTTTTTTCTCACTAGACTAAGCATGCTAGAAACAGCTGGAGGGGAGGGGAGTCACATGCTAAGACTGGAATGGGACAACATTCTAGAATGCTAGANAGGGAGGGGGGAAGGGGGGGGGGGGGGAGATAGGAAGAGA